GTTGATAAAATGCTGGGGATGGAACTCAGGGCCTCTTGCATAGTGAGCAACCATTTCGTCATCTGAGCCACATCCCCACCTCACTCTCCTGGAATGTACAGTTAGATGGGAAGATGCTTATTAGTCAACCAATCATGAGCTGTGTAATAACAAAGCTGATATAATGAAGCGTGTTCACACAGCTAGGCCTTGCCTAGAGCACAATGACAATGGAGGTGATGCTTATGCCAGGATCTGAGGCTCAACAAGGATTCATTGGGGGAAGGGGCTCCACAATGTGCAAGGAACTGAAAGAAGCCCAAATACAGAGGATGCTGGAGGCAGCGTGGTAGGACAGTTGGATTTGAGTCTTCGTGAAATGAGAAAAGGAACAGGGCTCAGTCCCAGGCTTAGCTAGGGCTAGGAGGTTGAATTAGCCGGCCTTTTAATTCCTCTCTGGGTATGTTAAACACAGAACATCTAGGCTAAAGACCAGCCCTGCTGTGGGCAGAACAACAAACAAGGCCATTGTTCAAGCCTGGTTTACATTGAATTGAATCTGTGTTAAGGTCAGCTGGGTGTTTCAGAGCTCTGTTTTCATTAAAACTTGTACAGCACATACACAAACAGCTGTGTTACATTTCTACCTATGCACTTGGATTTCAATTTCGTGTCACAATTACATAAATCAGGAAAGAGACAAGAGAGACTAAAACCTCATTTTACGGGGAAGGAAAATGAGGTCCCAAGAAGTTGTATGTCAGGGGCAAAGCTAGGTCGCCAGCCTCAGACTCAGGCGAGAAATAGCCCAGCTCATTCCAAGCACTGAGTTCCTGCCTCTACCCCTAGGTTCCTCAGCCCCCAGTGGAAGTATAAATAAATAATACACTGTATCAGGAATGTGCTAATTGTTTCTCACTTCAGGAGACATATCCTGACATTGTACTTTGTGGGCAGCTAGGAAGGTGGGAGCGAACCCTGATGTCACCTGCCCTGTAGCCCAGGGAAACAAGAAGCCACCAGGTGCCAAGGGGCCTTCTGAATACGGAAGCTGGCTCTGAAGCTTGGAGAAATGCTCCTAGAAATTCTGCAGTTAAGATTATTATGTAAAATTTCCTCGTATTTTTGTTTCACTGTGTAGCCCTGGCTTTCCTGGAACTCACTATGTATTCCAAGCTGGCCTCTAACCCACAGAGAACTCCCTGCCTCTGCTTCCTGAATACTGGAATTAAAGGCATGAGCCACCATGCCCAGGCTTTTTAAGTTTGTTTGTTTTTCCAGTAAACTTTTTTTTAATTGATGTATTTGACTTTTAAATGTTAGTTAAAAAAAAAAAAAAAAAAAAAAAAAGAAAAAATCTCCAAACTTTGGTATAAACCAAACCAAAAAAAAAAAAAAAATAATTCACACTAAGAAGGGCCGTCGTGTGTATAGAATGACGTTTCTGTTATGGAAGTGTGTTGTGTCCTAGACAGCTGGAGGCCAACTCCATCAGGTCTGTGTCTTCGTCATGTAGTTTACGTATGCGAAAACCATGAACGAGAGAAAACACACGACCTGCCCATGGTTGTGCAGTGCTCGAAGCAGATCCGCATCTGAATTCTTACCTGAGTACCTGCGTCGGAAAATCCACACTAGTCTGCTTGGGGTGCTGAAACAAGCACAGACAGAATGGCAGAAGCAGCAGAAATTATTATTATTTTTTAATGTTCTGGGTCCCAGAAGCCCAACGTCAAAGTGCCGACCAGCTTAGTTTCTGGTGACGCCTAGCTTGCAGTCCCCGCATGGCTATGAGCTCACTTGAAAGCCAGCTTTTAGAAGGACACCGGTCTGCCGTGAGGACTGTACCCTCAGAGCTCATGTAGAGCTGAACATCTCCCGAAGGCCCCGTCACACCGCCATGCTGAGGGTCAGGGCTTAGACACAGGAGTTGGGGCTGGTGCACAGCACACAGCCCAGCCTAGCTCGGCACCGTGCTGTGGCATCCTGGGGAAGATGGTTGAACAGATGTTCTTGGCTTCTCCTTTCTGCTCTCTTCTCTTTCGGAGGGCCTCGGTGAGCTCATTGCTTACTGTGTCCTGGTGGTACTCTTCCTGCTACTCCCCGTGGTCCCCAAGAAACAGCACCCCTCCAGATGTTCTATACAGTTTTTGGCTACCACTGAAGGGTCTCTGTCTTCAGCTTGGTGGAAACTACAGTAGTTGGGGTTTGGAAGAACAGTAGGTGTGATTGGAGCCTAGAATAAGCTGTAGCTTTTAGAAAGCCAAGCTTGACCTCTGTGTGCCTCTGGGGTTTCTTTCTTTTTGGCTTTTCTAACTTAGTGGCTGGAGTGGAGACAGGATTCCCTAACACAGAGGCAGAGGGTACATCTAGGGATGTAAATCATGTCACAGATATGTGTCCTGGTGTCTTAGTTACTGTTCTATTGCTGTGATCAGACACCGTGATCAGGGCAACACTTATAAAGAAAAATGTTTAACTGGGTCCTTGCTTAACAATTTCAGAGGGTTAGTCCATGATCATCGTAACAGGAAGCAGTGCTGTAACAGTTTCTGAGAGCTTTACATCCTGATTCACAAGTAGCAGGTCGGGGAGATACTGGGCCTGGACCGGGCTTTTGAAACCTCAATGCCCACCCCTACTTACACACCTCCAAAAAGGCCACACCTCCTAATCCTTCCAAATAGTTCCACTACCTGGGGACCAAGCATTCAAACATACGGACCTATGGGGGTTGTTCTCATTCCAAAGGCCACACCTGGACATCTCAAATTGCATAAAGCAAGCCGCCCAACGTAGTTCCACATCTGCAAGTGTCTGTAGACACACACAGATGCCCAGTGACCCCAGCACTGAAGTGCATGTTCTGCTTTGCCTACATTCACAGATTTGGATTTTCTTTTTCTTCTCTTAAGTCCTGTTTGCAGAATAGATGGATACTTTCAACAGGGTGGAGGGCATAAAGGTGGACAATGGAGGGTAGCAGAAATGTTGGAAAGAGGATGTAGCAAGAGGGAAGGCTGAGTTGTCCCCAGGCTTATTCGTTGGTTAATCTTGTCAGTTCTGCTATGTGGAGTATTTGTTTTAGGGTCAATAGAATGCTTTAATGTGAGAGTCTGTCACCACTGGATTCAGAGCCTGGGGAACCCAGGCTAGTTAAGCCCTACGAGCTTGGGGAAGTTGCTTAATTTTCCTGTGTTTGTTTTTCCTTTCATAAAATGTGGGTGATAATAGCAACAAACCTCTTGGCAGTTGAGAGGACTGATATCTTGCTTAAGTGGCCTTAGCACAAAGTCTGTTAGACAAAAAATGTTCAGTGAATAAAAGGCTGTTCTGATGAGCACTTGGGAATAATTGGAGGTTAAATGTGCCCATAGGGCGGTGTGATCAGTTGTCTTGGGGGCAGAACCGGCATGAATATTTCCCCAGGGTTGGGATGAGGTGAGCTCACTTTGAACCTGAGAACTGGATGGGCCGCTCAAAGAGTGTGCTTGGAACTGAAGTCTGGGTGAGGCTGAGTTCTTATAAGGACAGATAGCTATTTCTTCTTTCTGTGGAGACCAAGTCTAAGAGGAAATGACTCTCTCGGTTCTCCACTCTATTCAGCCAAGCAGTAATAAACCTTCTGATGATCACCCAAGTCTAGTGCTAAAACTTGATTCCTCTCCCCTGGGTCTCTGGTCCTAGCCAGGCTTGGCCCCTTCCACCTTCCCTTTCTTCCTCATCTCCTCCCCTGCCTTCTCCCTCCCCCTTGTGTGTGTGTGTGTCTGTCTGTGTCAGTGTGTACACTTGAGTTGGCAGAGGTTGAAATCAAGTGTCTTCTTTGGATGCTCTCCATCTTATTAATTTTGTGATTTATTTCTGTTCTGCTGGGGCACCTGTGTGAATGTGCTTCACAGGTAGACACACACCACACACACACACACACACACACACACACACATACATGCCTTAGGGTTTTCACCTTGTTTTTTGTGACACTGAACCTGGGGCACATCTGTCTGACTAGGCTGGGAGGCCCATGAGATCTCGGAAACAGCTCCCATCCCAGGGCTGGCTTTATAGACCCCAGGCACCATGCTCACTTTTATGTGGATCTTGGAGAAGAATGCAGGTCCTCACGTTTGTGCAGTGGCGCTTTGCTGACAGCCTTCATGGCTCTCCGTCTAGCAGTGTAGTCAGGATGCACCTGGGAGATGTGGATGTGTGTAGCCCGGGTGCAGGCTGGCCAGAAGGCAGGCGTTGGTGCAACTGGATCTTATAATGAAGTCAGTGCAAGTGTCGGACCTTTTTTAAAGATGTGTTATTGAGAACACTGTCTTTGCAGATAGCCTTTGAAGTCTGTACAGGGAAGAACTTTGGTCCAAGTTTGGCCAAGTTCTAAAACATAATATTGAATTTAGAGACAAGTATTTCCAGACCTTAAGAGTAATCCCATCCAAACCAGAGTGGCCAGTTTTCCCTAAATGAAAGTTGAGGCACCTGTTTTGTGAATATGAAAACCATAAATCAGAATATTTTCTATT